GGGGGAGGGGGAGGGGGGGGGGACACTAGGACTAAGGTAGATCCATCCGTTTTCTAATACTAAAGCCAATGAAAGATGTGTTTGTTTTAATTTCCTACATATTATGATCGGTTTCCCTGTGCTATTAACGATGAGCATTTTAAATCTTGGTACAAAATGCAGCTAACTTGATCAAAATATTTGCGGTTATCGAATGAGGATAACAAACTAGTTGAACTAACAAACTCCTAATTTAACAAGGCAAGAGAGAACCATTTAATTTGATTTTTATGTATTCATGCCCTGAAACTCCACACAGTAAAAGGCAATTGTGGAAGAACGCAAGGTAAGACANAGGATAACAAACTAGTTGAACTAACAAACTCCTAATTTAACAAGGCAAGAGAGAACCTTTTAATTTGATTTTTATGTATTCATGCCCTGAAACTCCACACAGTAAAAGGCAATTGTGGAAGAACGCAAGGTAAGACGGCCTCAGCCTTCTGTTCCGGTGAGTGATATTGAAGGGTTTCAATCTTCCCATCCTGAAAGTTATACGAAATTATGCATCCAGGCAGCTTGAAAAATACCAACCTTGGATCAAATTTGTCAAAACCTGCGGGTTTAAAGAGCAAGGAATGCTCATTTGGTCCAATATGAACTCTGAAACACTCCAAACTCCTATAAGCAATTGCAGTGTTAATCATAAGGTACCATGAAGTGATCTTCCGTGCAAGTATCCACTGATTGCTCACCCTTATCCAAACATGCAGGCAATGTGCATCAGTATAAGCATACGACAGCAACCCACCCGGCACGCCTAAGACACCATTTTTTATAAGATTGCTTTTGTTCTGACCTCTGTTCTTTATATGCACATTCGGCAGCTCCAGAAACCTGAAATTCTCTTCCCTAACATCATTTACGAGAATCGAACCAAGCGCAGTCACCGAATGCAACGATCTGTGCAACTGAACCGCAGCCCTAACAGTAGAAAAGAGTTGGTTAGGGAACAATATTTTGAGTTTCAATAATCTCTACTTGCCTGTTTCTGAAGAAAAAGCCTCGGCAAACATATTGGTATTTTTGATTACGAACTCTGGTATCCTTATGCCTTTGTAATTGCCGTATTTGTGGTCCACGAAAAACCCGATCAAAAAACCACCCTGCAGTTTGCTTTCTGGGAGGATTGCCCATCGCTTGGTGAGTGGATTGCAGACATAGTATTTTTTACTTGTGCCTCTATCAATGTGGTTCAAAAATGCTGCTTCTCTCTTAATCCTGGGTCGTGAACAGTGATTTGATTGATGTTAAAATAGAATCCTTTGTCAAGCTTCATGGAACTACATAGCATTAGGCCGTGTTGAAAAGCAAGAATATGGACTTGGTGGGGGAAGAAAACCGACCATTTCATTGATACATTGTGAACCTCTATTGTTCCCATTTGTATCAATAGATTTCACCCTGGCAAAACCAATTTGGTTGCACTGCTCCAATTGGTAAAACAGGCCAGCCAAAAGGGGTGGTTGCTCAGGCATCTGTGACCTGTAGTTTCGGAGGAATTTCGGGTTATTGACAATGCGAAGTGCATATTTGTTTACACAACTGAATCGTGAGAGCATGTAGGGTGGGAGACGGAGAAGAATATCAAAGAGTACATCATCGCAGAGCTCGGGTATCGGTGGAGATGGAGGAGTTGGAGGCAGAGATTTGTCTCCAGAAAATGCTCAGCCATTTCCAACACTTCAACACATTTGAAACCACTCTCATGCAGTAATCAATGGAGAAATTTTGAGGCCCCTTTAGTATAGGGATTGTGTAGTTGTGGACTTGTATATATGTGAGAGTGAAAGAGTTCTGAAAGGTTTAGTCCATCAACTAGTTATTTTTCAAATTAGGATTGATAAACACAGACGAGAGATAAATCCAAATGTCAAGGAATCTCTCTCTCTAAAATATTCATTACAACAATGACATTACGTGACAATGTTGACGTGGTATCATCAACCATTAATATCAAAACAAATAAACATATGAGTCCTAGTAAAATTAATAACAAACTCTCAATATAAATAAATAACTATTTATTCTTCCTTCATATAAACAAATAACTATCCAAGTGGGGTTCATTTTACCCACTTGGTGTTTTATTATTAGTTGATGATACCACGGCAATATTGTTGACAAGATATCACTACTGCATTCAATATTTACCAACGGTAACACCACATGGTCAATGATGTGGTGTCACTAACTAGTGATAAAAGACTAAGTAGATTTAGTGGGTTTCATTATTTTACTAACTACTAATAACTACTTTTGTCATATTAGAATAGTGGGGTTCATCAATCCTATTTAATGTTTATAATTGATTGGTGACACCAAGTAACAATGATGACGTATTGCCATCGTTACATCAAATATTTACTCGTAACGATGAGACCACATCGTCTTGACATGTAGTGTTCACTATCTAATAAAAATATAACAAGTAAGAAAACAAATCTCACATATTTTAGCACCCACTTCTCCATGTTAATTAGTAATCACCCAAAGTTAGAAAACAATTATTAAGTGGGATTCACCTTGCTCAGTTGAAAGTTTTTTATTGGAGGGTGACACTAAGTGTTGATGATTGTATAGTATTATCATTACATCCAATATTTACTCGTAACCGAGAGGCTTAGGTTCTTGCCCATGATAAGGATTGGCAGGTTTCTTCAATTTTCTTTTAAATGGTAGGTTTTGTACCTGTTGACATCTATAGACCTTGACCATTAAAAAAGAGAATCGAAAGGTTCTCTATTTTTTTTGAAATTGAAAAGAAATCGAATAGTGAGAATAGAGTTTAAGCTTGCTTTTTTTTTTTTTTTGTGACGTAATGTATATAATTTTCCTTTTCTCCTTTATCTTGGTATATACCAACAAAAATATAATGATAGTCGTCTAGTCGGCTATAGTAATTTGCAATCTGCATTCGGGATATCTTTTTTCAGACACCTTTCGACGCCTCTCTGAATACTCCGCCATAAAGTCCCCCTAAGTCCAAAGGATTCTGATCATAGTTGTTCAACGCGTCAAGTTGATACTATAGCTATAGGCAAGTGTTTAAGGTTCATGATTTCTTATTCAATGACCTCATCATCGTCATTCTCATGTCTAATTTGATATCTAATATTTCACCCGCAGGCTATACTGTTAAGTTGACTTGCTCCTATAGGACTAAGGTTGAAATGGTTGAAAAGAAAGAAAAAATTTGTCATTCACGGATTGATGAAGGATTTCTCGGAAAGTTAGAGATTATTTTTAAGTGTACAAATAAGATAATTATTTAGATTTAAGTTGTGACTTTGTGAGCCACTAAAAAGGGAAAGGCACCAAATGGAAGTAAGCTTAGCCAGCTGCACATGTAAGGCTTGGTTTGCGTAACTATAAAGTTTCATATATTTCACCCTCTCTAGTTTCTGACGAATCTTTTTAAAATTATTTCTTTAATTGTAGAATATAGACACCAAAAACAGAGAGGAAGAAGCAAAACCAATGACGAATGAATTCACCCTCAAATTATAATACAGAAGCAAAAGAAGCAAAATAAGTCTGAATGAATAATTCGATAATTAGGTTAAGTGTGGAAGAAGAGAGTGAAAAAGTTCATTGTGGCAGTGAGACAAGAACATATTCTCCCCGGAAAGGGCTGGTGCATTACAAGGTAGTCTATGACTACGAGCTGTGTCACGTAAGTTCACCTGCTCAGCTTTGAAACCATATGCGGTGGTCCAGAAGAGCAATTTTGTATTTTTTTTTTGTTCAACGGTCGGAGGTGTTCGGGTTTCAAGGGGTTGCCCCAGAAGCGCAATCAACTACAGAAAAAGATGAAAGCAATGCAAAGCTCACAACACATTTTCGAAGTGCACAAAAATCGATGTTAAAATGGAGAAACTAAATATTAAAATTAAGAAGATACTGTGGCATTCAGTCTCATAAATCCTTGTACAAATAAAATGGTGCAGATACCTCATCCCCCCTCCCAACAAAAAAAAAGAAGAATNGCAAATAACTATCCAAGTGGAGTTCATTTTACCCACTTGGTATTTTATTATTAGTTGATAATACCACGCCAATATTGCTGACAAGATATCACTACTGCATTCAATATTTACTAACGGTAACACCACACGGTCAATGATGTGGTGTCACTAACTAGTGATAAAAGACTAAGTAGATTTAGTGGGTTTCATTATTTTACTAACTACTAATAACTACTTTTGTCATATTAGAATAGTGGGGTTCATCAATCCTATTTAATGTTTATAATTGATTGGTGACACCAAGTAACAATGATGACGTATTGCCATCGTTACATCAAATATTTACTCGTAACGATGAGACCACATCGTCTTGACATGTAGTGTTCACTATCTAATAAAAATATAACAAGTAAGAAAACAAATCTCACATATTTTAGCACCCACTTCTCCATGTTAATTAGTAATCACCCAAAGTTAGAAAACAATTATTAAGTGGGATTCACCTTGCTCAGTTGAAAGTTTTTTATTGGAGGGTGACACTAAGTGTTGATGATTGTATAGTATTATCATTACATCCAATATTTACTCGTAACCGAGAGGCTTAGGTTCTTGCCCATGATAAGGATTGGCAGGTTTCTTCAATTTTCTTTTAAATGGTAGGTTTTGTACCTGTTGACATCTATAGACCTTGACCATTAAAAAAGAGAATCGAAAGGTTCTCTATTTTTTTTGAAATTGAAAAGAAATCGAATAGTGAGAATAGAGTTTAAGCTTGCTTTTTTTTTTTTTTTGTGACGTAATGTATATAATTTTCCTTTTCTCCTTTATCTTGGTATATACCAACAAAAATATAATGATAGTCGTCTAGTCGGCTATAGTAATTTGCAATCTGCATTCGGGATATCTTTTTTCAGACACCTTTCGACGCCTCTCTGAATACTCCGCCATAAAGTCCCCCTAAGTCCAAAGGATTCTGATCATAGTTGTTCAACGCGTCAAGTTGATACTATAGCTATAGGCAAGTGTTTAAGGTTCATGATTTCTTATTCAATGACCTCATCATCGTCATTCTCATGTCTAATTTGATATCTAATATTTCACCCGCAGGCTATACTGTTAAGTTGACTTGCTCCTATAGGACTAAGGTTGAAATGGTTGAAAAGAAAGAAAAAATTTGTCATTCACGGATTGATGAAGGATTTCTCGGAAAGTTAGAGATTATTTTTAAGTGTACAAATAAGATAATTATTTAGATTTAAGTTGTGACTTTGTGAGCCACTAAAAAGGGAAAGGCACCAAATGGAAGTAAGCTTAGCCAGCTGCACATGTAAGGCTTGGTTTGCGTAACTATAAAGTTTCATATATTTCACCCTCTCTAGTTTCTGACGAATCTTTTTAAAATTATTTCTTAATTGTAGAATATAGACACCAAAAACAGAGAGGAAGAAGCAAAACCAATGACGAATGAATTCACCCTCAAATTATAATACAGAAGCAAAAGAAGCAAAATAAGTCTGAATGAATAATTCGATAATTAGGTTAAGTGTGGAAGAAGAGAGTGAAAAAGTTCATTGTGGCAGTGAGACAAGAACATATTCTCCCCGGAAAGGGCTGGTGCATTACAAGGTAGTCTATGACTACGAGCTGTGTCACGTAAGTTCACCTGCTCAGCTTTGAAACCATATGCGGTGGTCCAGAAGAGCAATTTTGTATTTTTTTTTGTTCAACGGTCGGAGGTGTTCGGGTTTCAAGGGGTTGCCCCAGAAGCGCAATCAACTACAGAAAAAGATGAAAGCAATGCAAAGCTCACAACACATTTTCGAAGTGCACAAAAATCGATGTTAAAATGGAGAAACTAAATATTAAAATTAAGAAGATACTGTGGCATTCAGTCTCATAAATCCTTGTACAAATAAAATGGTGCAGATACCTCATCCCCCCTCCCAACAAAAAAAAAAGAAGAAGAAAAAAGAAAAAGAAGATATACACACCAAACAACCCCACTCAAGCCCACTCCAAATCCTCACACTATCCAAATCTTTTTTGCCCTTTTTTCCCTCTCCCTCTCTCTCGTTCCATCTTTTTGCTGCCATTCTTTCTCCCTGTTAATTTTACAGCATCCAACTAGGCCGTCATTGTCGATTTTCTATTGTTGAGCTGCCACTGTTGACACCAGTGATCCGATTCGAGTCACCAACTCCAGATGCCAATGCGACAACATCAGGGGGTATATTCCAGCTTCCACTTCTTCTTCCCCAACTAGAGCGTCTAGGATGTAGGGTACTTCGTTCTTCTGTGCCCTCAACAGGAACGGCCCCGCTAAGATCTGGAGACACGTCGGTAAACTCACCATCAGTGTCAAGACTATCATCATTTCTTAGCTGTCTCTCAAAGTCACCTGCTCCGGTTGCAGCCTCGTTCCAGGCTAGCTTCCTTTCCATTTCTCTGTCGCCCATGGCTTTCCCCAAGGTTGGGCTAACAAAACCACCACTCACAACCCGGGGCGGAATTCCAGGCTCTTTCTGCACCTTTGCCCTAAATTTGTTCTTGGATTCTGGAATGCTGGTGAAGAACATCTCCTTAAAGTTCCCAAATACTCCTTTGTTATATGGGTTGGCCCTTCGATCATATCGATATCTAAAATTTTCGTAAGTAGACTGCAAAACCGATAAAAGACATCTCAAATCTTGCAAGCAATCAAAATATAATTTGAGTAACATGGTTCTAGAAATTGAATCCGTACCATTAGGAATATTGCACATAATGGTCCAGAAGGAGAAGCAATGACATTTAGAGATTTAGGCGTTCAAAAAACTAATAAACATATCAAAGGTATTTCTACTGAAACAATAGATCTTCCCCGGATTTCATGTGGACCATTACACTAAAAGAACTTAGAGAAGATGGATGCTAAACCAGAGGAAAAAATGGCTTATAAAGTGGTATTTTACCTGATTTGTACTAATGAGGTAGAGATGAAAGACAGCAAGACCACCAACAAACCAGACTGCTATAAAAGTATAAATTATCAGCACGATGGAGGCAGGAGTCTTGGTCATTGCATTCCAGATTGATGTTCTCTCACCGTCCATAATCCTTTTAATGTACACCCAGCAAAAACCATGTACATATAAACAAAGAAGAGTTGCTGAGAAGACAAACATGAAGAAGAACCTGTAGTTCCTCTGCACCACAATGAAACAGGCAATTAAAATTAAAATTAATCATGATTGTCTATAAAGCAAATTGCCACGGGAACCTGAGATTCTAACCACACGTGACAGCTGAACAATCAAAGAAAATACTGGGTTAAGTAAAACGAATCTTCACACCACAATTTTGGGCAAAATCAGCTATCATATGCATAAAATCAGCAATTTTATTTTTTTGTTTGCCAAAACAAGTGTGAATAAATTCAGCATCCTCATCAGCTTGTGTACATAAATCAAAGAGCAGCTGCTGCTCCTAAAACAGATGGTCAAATTGATCGGACCATCTCCCTGACTGCTTCATGCAGCGATTGATCAAGAAAGTCATAATTAGGAAGCTAAACTTAATAATTAATTATTTTTACCTACTTGAATTGTTTTTATTACAATAGTTCGACTATAGAACAGTTCAGAATTTATTGTATAGAGTTCATTAATATAAGAGAGAGTGTATTGCATGAAATTTGTCAATAAAAAGACAAAAAGTCAAAGGTATGGATAAAAACAGTTTGCAATGTACTTTGATTCGGAGTTAATATTGCCTTTTCATAATCTATTCATAACTAAAAATAGCAACCAATAAGTTACATATGGGTTTATAACCAAACATGGAAGACTTAGGAGCCCTTAAAATAACATGAAAGCAATTGTTCGAACTTCAATGTCAGGATCCAAATCACAGAGTGAAATATATATGCAGCAGGTGCTACCCTCGAGCTATCTTATAAGCAACAAGAACACCACCACCTGTCTACCCCCACCACCCAAAAAAGGAGGGTTAAAAAAAGGTTCCAGCCTTCCGCAAGACACTGCTGTTTTAGGCTTTTTTTCCACAATACAGAAGGTAAATCATTGTTTGATCATTGGGACCAATTACATAGTTATCATCAAAAGCTAAAACATCAATCAACCATTCACAGCATAGCTTCCAACAGGTCTGAGAAAGGAAATGGACAGTAAAACGAAAACAGATAGAATGAAAGGTTATGGGTTGAATCTAAAGCACAAGTGATCTTAATTTAAAATAATTGCACTTACCAATCCAATACATTGTCCAACCCAAGGACAGTGATGATCAAATCGTTGCACACAATTATTGCATATCGAACAGTGTGAACAACGTGGAGGTCTGTAAAGCATGCAGGTATCACAGTATTTGATCTTCACAGTAATTCCATTAACAATGACATCCTTGATGCGAGGCAAACGCAATTGTGGAGTTTGGCCAGGCCCAACTTCTGCACTCCCCTCATAACTTTCTGGCTCTGGAGGGTGTGCATTGCGAGGAATTATGCCAGGATCTCTTCCAGATGTCAGTAGAAGAAGGACTAACACCTTGAAAAACAGATAAATCCACAAATTCAGCTCTCAATTGGCTAAATATGAAATATTATGTTACATCTTGCTCTTTATCAAACAAAAGGAAACACCGTAAACTATCAACCGTCGGCTATCTCAAATGCATAAACTTTTTTATCAGCATTTCTTTTCTCTTAGTTCAAAGACCAATTTATGCACCAGTAAGGAAGAGTGACATGATCACCATAAGGGTAAGTGCCAGGAGAAGGGGAAGACCAAAACTAACATGGGCTGATGTAGTGAAAATGGATGTGCTTGTTTGTGATTTGATAAAATACATGGGCTGATGTAGTGAAAATGAATATGCTTGTTTGTGATTGGATTAAAAATATAACTGTGAAAGAGTAGCATGGTGAAAAAGGATTCACANAATATAAGAGAGAGTGTATTGCATGAAATTTGTCAATAAAAAGACAAAAAGTCAAAGATATGGATAAAAACAGTTTGCAATGTACTTTGATTCTGAGTTAATATTGCCTTTTCATAATCTATTCATAACTACNAATATAAGAGAGAGTGTATTGCATGAAATTTGTCAATAAAAAGACAAAAAGTCAAAGGTATGGATAAAAACAGTTTGCAATGTACTTTGATTCGGAGTTAATATTGCCTTTTCATAATCTATTCATAACTAAAAATAGCAACCAATAAGTTACATATGGGTTTATAACCAAACATGGAAGACTTAGGAGCCCTTAAAATAACATGAAAGCAATTGTTCGAACTTCAATGTCAGGATCCAAATCACAGAGTGAAATATATATGCAGCAGGTGCTACCCTCGAGCTATCTTATAAGCAACAAGAACACCACCACCTGTCTACCCCCACCACCCAAAAAAGGAGGGTTAAAAAAAGGTTCCAGCCTTCCGCAAGACACTGCTGTTTTAGGCTTTTTTTCCACAATACAGAAGGTAAATCATTGTTTGATCATTGGGACCAATTACATAGTTATCATCAAAAGCTAAAACATCAATCAACCATTCACAGCATAGCTTCCAACAGGTCTGAGAAAGGAAATGGACAGTAAAACGAAAACAGATAGAATGAAAGGTTATGGGTTGAATCTAAAGCACAAGTGATCTTAATTTAAAATAATTGCACTTACCAATCCAATACATTGTCCAACCCAAGGACAGTGATGATCAAATCGTTGCACACAATTATTGCATATCGAACAGTGTGAACAACGTGGAGGTCTGTAAAGCATGCAGGTATCACAGTATTTGATCTTCACAGTAATTCCATTAACAATGACATCCTTGATGCGAGGCAAACGCAATTGTGGAGTTTGGCCAGGCCCAACTTCTGCACTCCCCTCATAACTTTCTGGCTCTGGAGGGTGTGCATTGCGAGGAATTATGCCAGGATCTCTTCCAGATGTCAGTAGAAGAAGGACTAACACCTTGAAAAACAGATAAATCCACAAATTCAGCTCTCAATTGGCTAAATATGAAATATTATGTTACATCTTGCTCTTTATCAAACAAAAGGAAACACCGTAAACTATCAACCGTCGGCTATCTCAAATGCATAAACTTTTTTATCAGCATTTCTTTTCTCTTAGTTCAAAGACCAATTTATGCACCAGTAAGGAAGAGTGACATGATCACCATAAGGGTAAGTGCCAGGAGAAGGGGAAGACCAAAACTAACATGGGCTGATGTAGTGAAAATGGATGTGCTTGTTTGTGATTTGATAAAAAACATGGGCTGATGTAGTGAAAATGAATATGCTTGTTTGTGATTGGATTAAAATTAAAAATATAACTGTGAAAGAGTAGCATGGTGAAAAAGGATTCACATAGCCAACCAAAATAAAGGGGATAAGGTTTGGTTTCGACTATTTGCTATTTGAGGAAGGTGGACTTTTACCTTAGAGTAAAAGATTAGAAGTGTAGAAGACCTGCAATTTTACGCCTCTATCCCCTCTTTCTCAATGCACTAATTAAAGGGAATAAAGCCAGTCAGAGCACCATCAACTATCAACTATCAGCATAAGTTCTTTCTTTCTGTTTCTAATTGTTTTTACTCACACACAGCTACAATAATTTTAAAGAGAAGCCAATGCAAACAAAAACTTGACTAGTGGGCCACAGGCATGATGAGAAGATCATTAAAATCCCCTCCCACCGCTCCCGGATCCCTTGAAAGAAACATATAATATCAACCAATACCATCTGATCACCAATTGTCACTACAGATGCAACGTACACATATACTTTAGAGGTACAAAGTTTACGCCAATACATTTTTTATAAGTATAATGTGTCATTGCAGATATAATTGTTACATATCCAACATGATCCGTAGGCAGCCATGGGAGCAGGAGGCATGTTGATTGATCCATGACAGTAATATAATGCTGATATGCTACAATTATAGCTATTAAGAGCCCAAACAGCAGTACAGAACAGACGTTCAAATATCTTTCAGGAAGGCTATTTTTGATGAAACTCCGAAGGTTATTTTTTGCACGCTCCAAGCATATAAGGTTTATTACTGGAAATGTGTTTTCACAGCTATTTGGACATTTATGTTCAATGATGAGGCATATTCCAGTAAATATTGAGAGTGCCTCACATAGTATCTGCATAAGTACTAAGAAAAAATTGTGCAATTTGAAAAATCATTGTTGCTTCACATAAATAGGAGTGTAAATCTAGCGAAACAACATCTCTTAAAGATCATCATGGTCAAGTGCAAGCTATAGTTTTTAGGAAGCTTCTACACAGCTGATTATTAAACACTTCAGGAGTTGGCAGTCATTTCTTGACTGAGTAGTGACTGTTGTTTCTTCTCTCTAATTTCTTCTTAATCCTCTTCCTTTTTATTTTGTTTTGGTCACAGTATGTACAGGGTAGGGGGCAAATGACACTCGAACCTTGCATTTGGGTCAATCCTCTTTTGCTCCTTTATTCTCTTCCTTTACTTCTTCATTCTTATCTCAGAATGACATCCATAACTCAGCCCCTGATCAGATAACTATCCCTTATTGCATGAAAAATCATCNGGGTCAATCCTCTTTTGCTCCTTTATTCTCTTCCTTTACTTCTTCATTCTTATCTCACTCTTAATTCTTTTCTTATGGTTTCCAACTCCTAAGTCTTGATCTGCACCACCAACCCTGGTCAACACTCATTTGGAGTCTTACCAAATTGTCACCTTTTTACTCTAATAATGTGCAAATCAATGTTGCATCTTGTCAAACAAAAATATATCATGTAAGATGCATACAAGTAATATCATAGATTATATTATACACTCTCAACTCCACCCAACACCTTATACTAGTAGGAAATAGGAAAGTGTTATATTAATAAATACAAGTTAGCATTAAACATTAAATAGGCAAGTAGTATATTAATAAATACTACTTTTCAACTCTCCTTTTATGTGGTATTTAATGAATAAAAATACAGAAGTAGGAAAGTCCATGTGTCCATATTTTATATGTTACCGTATCTGCCACACTTGCATGGCATATATACATTCCTAAAACTAAGGTCTGCAAACTCTGCACATATGCAGAGAGTCTGCGTAATGAACTGATATCTTTTTTTACCCTTTTTTGGGTCATAATTACTCATAAGTGAGGGGTTCTCCCCTGCAGGAAAACCAGACCTGGAACCAGAGTTGAACAGATTATTAGCCAATGATAATGAAACACATCATGGTTAGCCAGTAAATACACAAACCCATTCCCTTGTCTTAAATTTTCTTTAACTCACACCTGTATACCCTTCGCACCTTGTCTTAACGAGCCTCATATTGGTCCCACCCCAGTGGACCAGTGATTAACCCTGAGACAAACCGGACTAAAAGTTTCAAACCTGTGTCCTTACTCGCCTAAATTCTTTTTTGTCATGCCAAGGACAGCTCACAGAATGACATCCATAACTCAGCCCCTGATCAGATAACTATCCCTTATTGCATGAAAAATCATTGAATCAATCCCATGCAATCACCACACAGCATAGGTCCAGCTCCTGCTAAGCCTGGGTTCCCTTTAAAGCAGCAATCAACATTTGTTTTGATCCGAAAGGATTTAGGAAAAGCCCAAGATAGAAGATCATCTTACCAATTTTCTCTTTGCAGTATTATGGACCGTATTAGCATATTTTAGAAAGTACATAATGGAACTTTGAGAATATGGAAAATCCTCACCGTTAGAATCTCCTGTTCAGCTCCACAACACCCAACAACTAGAATCTCTCTTTCTTCCCTCTAGTGCCCTTCTTATGAGAGCAGGGATCCCTGTTAGAGGTACTCACCAGTAAACAATACACTTGCCAAGGCAAACCATTTACCAATTGTTGGAGTTGGTTGTAATTATTATATACCCATTTTTGGAATTGAAGAAATTGCTAACAATCTGTAGGAGGAGCAGACTCAAGGAAATGTCTTTGGCTCGTGATTATTCCAGGTAATGTATCCTTTCTATAGTACATACACAGCTTGAGTCCTATAGGGCAAAATATACTGCCATATAAATTTTCAAAGCTGGAAAATCAAATATGCATGAGTCTCCAAGCTGGCCGAATCTCCAGATACAATGTAAATAAAGATTAGATTGTGAGTTCCAGCAGCAACAATCACAGTTGTTTCTCGCACTTCCCAATACCATACAGTTCGTACCACCATTGAAGTTGATACATAGAATCACAAAAACTAGTAACTAAGGCCTTAAAGGGTGTTATTAGCATCGTCACAAGTGTTTGATTTGGAGGCCTGAATCACATCTCAAGTTTAAAATAATAAAGGGAAAGCAAAACTACATGATAAAGAAAAATTTCAATCAACCATCTCTTATCAAAGCAATGAAATAAACACTACCATGCTTAACTGACTTTCAAATTGCTAAATGCCCAAACAGGGGAGGTGATAACATCTTCATAAAGCTCCACTATTCTTAATAATGAGAAAGACTTTTTGAAATTCGTTCAAATTGATCAAGAATCTATTAAAAATGAAACCTATCCTCGAAGAATCATAGATGGCGTGAAGACAGGAAAATTAGAAGTATCAAGATAGAGGACTTACATATAGAGTGAAAACAATAGCAATGACCATTATTAATATCCCCAAATGATGTGAAAAATCATCCAGCAGTTTCCTAGCAATGAAGACACAGAAAACAGCAACAGGAGCAACTATAAGGAATATTGTTAAGAAGAGCGATCTGACGTCAGGTCCAAAAATGAACCTTCCTTGAAGAAAGAATATCTGCAAATTAAGAAAATCCATTACTAGATAGTGGAAATATTTACAGAAACAAAAGATATGCTACTTATGGCGAGGCCATAAGGGACAAAAGCCTTTGAAATGTTAGCCATAAAATACTTGAAGAACGTATCAACCCAAAGTGATTACTCGTAAACTTCAGCTCCCATGAGGTACAGAAATCTCCCACATCACGTGTTTTTTTAGGGGTGTCCATAAAATTCCATCCAGATAACAATTATCCATGAAATAAGGCACCATTTGATTGCACCAACCAAAAACAGTGCTTTGAGTGACACGAACACACACACGCATATGAACATTGCTTCGGTTGACTCAGGTAAGAACATGAATGCGGTGATGCAAAATAGTAACCAAAGTTACCAAACAACAGCTACCTTCTGAAATAAGCTTATGAGATTAATTACTTTTTAGACTAATAAGCTCGAATATCAGAAATTAACCATAAGTAATTTTTTTGTCCCCTCGATCAAAATCCTAGCTTCATCCATGCTCGCAAATCAAACTGATAGCTGCTTAATCTGCATTCAATGCAGTGCAAGATGGTTTACCAATAGAGTAATTTCTATAAGCAAAGCTAAATTAGTCCATCACCTACACGTATGACAGTTTCTATCTCCGCTGTCAGCTAATCCAGAAAGTTCAAGTTAACACACTCTTTGTGATGTATACAGCCAACCATAAGAATCAAAATCTTTTACTTGCTTGTCAAACACAAAACCCCAAATTTGGCAGCTCAAAACAAATCCAATTAAACAAGATTCAAACAAAATTAATAACGGTACAAGGATGGTACCATTACCATCTCATTCTGCAACACAAGACAAAACCTCAAAAGCGGAAACCAAATTAGAATTTTCCTTCATAAATTAGATCATAAAACCCTAAATTTTCCATCAACAACATCGATTAACCATGTATATTCACCCCTAAACCCCAATCAACAGGAAACTGAAATTAATTTTCTTCCAAGTAGACATGCAGAGAGAGTTGAACATACATTGCTGCCTTTCCAGGTCTGATAAGTCCGTAGCAACTCCGTGCCATCGGCGGCACCACCGGTCGGACCAGAACTCTTCGGCGGAGGTACCGCATACATCTCTCTCTCTCTCTCTCTCTCAAACTACCTGTCTCTCTCTCTCTCTAGCCGTAATACGACCAGTAATAATATCTAGGTCAATGGATTGAAAAGCCAAGAAAGGCGGCTTTTTACGGGTTTGACTTTGCCGGAAGGTGCGTGCTTAAGTAAGCGACAGATTCCGGCGACCACCGACGAGGATAAAACGGTCACCGGCGGTCAAATTTGATGAAATTTACAGTTGAGGAACGGTGATCAAGAAACGAAGATGAATGGATATTGAAAAAGGTGTGTATATGATTACGTTTTCTTCTCCGACAAAGTCATGAGGTGTGCTAGGACTCAGTCATGATGCTGCGAAACGTGGGAATTTGGAAAACGTATCTCTCTCTATTTTTGAAGGATGTCTGTGACGTGGCAATTTCTTATTGGCTGTAGCTCAAAAAGTCTTAGAGAGCTAGGGGTTAGTCTTTTTCTTTCTTTTTCCTTTTCTTTTTGGTAAATTCTTTGTAGTCACTTTATTTTTATGGAGTTATACTTACACCCTTCATAGTTTGTTGAAATTTCAAAAATACCCTCATAGTCTATGAAAGCAGTGCTATTGGATTGTAAAGTTTTGGATAGGGACTAGGGAGGAAGGTATACTAGTCTTGTGTCAATTTTAAAAGTCAAGTTTAAAATTGTCAAGCTTAATTTCGGTTTAGGAGTAAAGAGAGGGGATTGCGAGTTTCTTTGTTTGTAAGTTGGACCTGGAGTTTGAAAAATGTGTGTTTAAGAGAAAATTGGGTGGTTGGGTTTGTGAGGACTTAACATTTTTTTTTTCGGTCTCATTATTACATTGGAAGATGGAAGAGGCAATACCAACACCAACAAGTGTAGATCCGAAGAGCGTTGCCACTTTGACGGATCCTCAAGGCCATGTTGTTGACATTCATTTCTAGTATTTTTTTGGTAAGAGATAACCAGTTTGATTTCACAAATAAAAAAGGTATCATTTATAATTCCAATAAATCTTAGGAAGGTGAGTATAATTTTCTACATGGGTGGCTACTTACTCNAAGGTATCATTTATAATTCCAATAAATCTTAGGAAGGTGAGTATAATTTTCTACATGAGTGGCTACTTACTCCCATNTTTTTGGTAAGAGATAACCAGTTTGATTTCACAAATAAAAAAGGTATCATTTATAATTCCAATAAATCTTAGGAAGGTGAGTATAATTTTCTACATGGGTGGCTACTTACTCCCATCATATTCATTGCTCTTATTCAAATGTATTCGTATTTGTCCAACTTCAACAACATGTTTGGTTGTCAGTTGACTATTAGACGTTTGAAGGCAAGCAATTATAAGCCAAAATGTCAAGTTATTTTGAAGGAAATAATGTCGTATGTACCAAATCTTTTACTAAATTACAGTTACTAAATGATTAGTGCATGCTAATGAAATCTTATTCTAAAATTGATCATTTGTATGGATCTAACAAAAGAAATTATTAACTTTTTTGATAAGTAGTATAATGTTGGTTCTTGATTATATATTTACAAATTTTGGTGGTTGGTTAATTTGGTAGAATTCCAAATCATGCCATTTGAGTCATTGCTAGAACAAGGCCGGCGGCCCTAAGCACAGGCCATTAAGGTGGGTGGGCCTCCAGTTCAAGAGGGTCCCTAAAAAAATTAGTCCTCAGGTATATTTTTTTTTATTTTTGAGTTTTAAATAAGACCCAAATTTTTAGTTCTCCAAATTTTAGGAGCTCAAATTAATGTCTAACATTGTTAAGTCTAAAAATATTCTCTATCTGATTAGGCCCAGTAAATATAATAAAAAAGAACCCTAGTATAAATATTTTTGAGTATTTCTATTTAGTTTTGAAAAATTTAAACCTTTGGATGAAGATAATTTGTAAGAACATTGTTTTAAACTTGAAAATTTTGTAAAACTTGGTATATCTATTGATATTCATGGCTTAGATTTACTTTTAAAATTAAAAATTTTAAAAATTGAAACCAACACTTCAATTAAAATACTAAACTATATAAAAAGATTAGATTCTTTTCTGAATTCTTATAGATTTTGTTAACAACACCAGTAACAACAAAAAAGAACTTTTCAAAACTTAATTTAATAAAATTTTATTTACGGTCAATTATGTCCTAAGAAGGATTGAATGAATTAACTATATTATCTATTGAGAAAAATTTATTGACAAAACTTGAACATAAAAACTTGATCAATATTTTTGTTTCTCAAAAAATAAGAAAAATAATTTTTAAATAAATAAAAAATTAAATTAAAATAACTAAAAATAATATATATATTAATACACAAAATACTAGCAAAAACACATGTAAAATTTTCACCTTTTGTCCTTTTTTATGTGAACCATTCATTGATGTTGTCATTTGTGAAATGAGATTTAAACTTAGGTTACTCATCGAAATGCGAACACGAGTTTCTTGATTATATGCCGCTCCATTCCATTAGAAGAAGGACGGCCAAGGCACTGCCATTAAGATGAATGAAACTTCCATTCCACTGCACTTCACTTTCAACCAAGCTGGTCGGTCAGACTTANCCATTAAGATGAATGAAACTTCCATTCCACTGCACTTCACTTTCAACCAAGCTGGTCAGACGTGAGCAAAGGATCAATCACCTATCCGGGCATTGCTTTATTACGGGTGGCATTTTTTTTTTGTTGGAATTTAAACACATTTTTAAAAAATAAAACAAGCATTGAAATTGCTATGTCTGATAGGATCGAACACCATTACTTCCCGTAAAAAGGGTGCACCTAAATGTGATTTTTTTATCACTAGATATTGTTCACTAGGGATGACAGTAAACTATAAAAAAAAGAAAAGCAAAAAGAGTGCAATCATGTTCTATTTAGACTAGAAATGAATCATACGTATTAGACGGTGAACGTATCAGGATGAAGGTGGGGATAAACTGAAACTCATCCCCACTCAGCTATATTAGCAAGCAGACATTGTTTGTCAAGATTCTCTCTTCATATATCTTAGTTCTCTTATTGTATCTTAATTTTCTATTAATACAAGAAGACACTCCACAGTTATCTATTTGTAAGTTAATTTCTAGTTTATTGTATTTTATTTTTTACTTTAAATTACAGATGTTTTATAATGTTGTGCCTTCTACCCTCTTGCTGGTATCAAAGCCATTTGATAGTATCGTAGTTATCTGTTGAGTTAAATCTTGTTAACTTTATTCATTTAAAAAGCTCTTGCGATTTATTCTAGTCAATTTCTTGTCAAGTTCTATTATCCTTTGGAACCTAACTCAAAGAGACCACTCTTGAACGTAGTATTCCTAACCCAATCTGAGCATAAGACCTAGTGAGAGGCAGAGAGAGACAAACATGGAATCATGGAGACAGAGTATGTGTAAAGAAGGGTATTTTCAAGATAGGGAGAACAAATTGAGCAAGTAGATTGGTTAGTTAAATCAAAAATTTATTTAAAAATGAGTAGGTTATTCAGATTTAATTCCTCAGCTAGCTCTAGAACTTTTGTTCCTTCTATACATTCAATAGAGAAGAACATGAATTTCATTAGTCNTCAGACTTAAGCAAAGGATCAATCACCTATCCGGGCATTGCTTTATTACGGGTGGCATTTTTTTTTTGTTGGAATTTAAACACATTTTTAAAAAATAAAACAAGCATTGAAATTGCTATGTCTGATAGGATCGAACACCATTACTTCCCGTAAAAAGGGTGCACCTAAATGTGATTTTTTTATCACTAGATATTGTTCACTAGGGATGACAGTAAACTATAAAAAAAAGAAAAGCAAAAAGAGTGCAATCATGTTCTATTTAGACTAGAAATGAATCATACGTATTAGACGGTGAACGTATCAGGATGAAGGTGGGGATAAACTGAAACTCATCCCCACTCAGCTATATTAGCAAGCAGACATTGTTTGTCAAGATTCTCTCTTCATATATCTTAGTTCTCTTATTGTATCTTAATTTTCTATTAATACAAGAAGACACTCCACAGTTATCTATTTGTAAGTTAATTTCTAGTTTATTGTATTTTATTTTTTACTTTAAATTACAGATGTTTTATAATGTTGTGCCTTCTACCCTCTTGCTGGTATCAAAGCCATTTGATAGTATCGTAGTTATCTGTTGAGTTAAATCTTGTTAACTTTATTCATTTAAAAAGCTCTTGCGATTTATTCTAGTCAATTTCTTGTCAAGTTCTATTATCCTTTGGAACCTAACTCAAAGAGACCACTCTTGAACGTAGTATTCCTAACCCAATCTGAGCATAAGACCTAGTGAGAGGCAGAGAGAGACAAACATGGAATCATGGAGACAGAGTATGTGTAAAGAAGGGTATTTTCAAGATAGGGAGAACAAATTGAGCAAGTAGATTGGTTAGTTAAATCAAAAATTTATTTAAAAATGAGTAGGTTATTCAGATTTAATTTCTCAGCTAGCTCTAGAACTTTTGTTCCTTCTATACATTCAATAGAGAAGAACATGAATTTCATTAGTAAAAAATAGATAGGAAAAACTGGAATATACTTAAGATACCAGTAAAAGAAATATACAGAACAAGTTGGCTACCAACATCATTGAAGTCAGAATTACAAGTAAAGACCATTGAATAAGTTTATGCCCTTACAAAAGAGCATGAAACTTGTCAAATGCTTAGTAACGAATCAATCAAAAAATATAGGTCAAAAGGATATAATTTTATCCACATTTGCTTGGTTCAAGTTGCAGTAAAACCATTATCAACTTGAGGAATCAACTCCTCAATTTTGTTATGCCTAAGAGATGTTAGGTTTAAAAATTATGACACAAGTATCTTAGGAATAATGGAGTCAAGCCTGCACAATGGCCAATTATACTTTACTTATTTTTCAAACTTCATTATAAGTCTGAGTGACATTAATTTGTTAACGGCATTAACCCTGAACATAAAAACTTTAGGAGAGTACACAAATATGTCAGAAGGTAATGGTATTGATTTACCAAA